AAAAAAAAAAAAAAAAAAAAAAAAAACCATTGTAGGTTTCTTTACTTTTATCGCCTCTATTCCAACCAAAAACCAAAAATACCAAATTGGGTTTACATCGCGAGGTGGTCTGTTTTTCCGGAAATTCCGGAAAGAGCTGTTCTATTCGCCCATGGAAATTTCCTCTAAATTTTAACTGAAAGGTATGGTTGAAAGAAAGCTGTCGAGGTATATCCAAATGTTCGAAAATTTTGACTTAAATAGTCAAAAATCCATTTGCACTAAACCTTAATTACGACACATGAACTATTATTATTCCGAGTCATTAATCTCTAAGACGTAGGTTGGGTAAAAAGATAAATGACATCTTAACTGCCAAATCTTTTGTGGTCTGCTGTCGATTTCGAAATCCTGTGATACAAAAACTGTGCAAATTGTCGCCCCCTCATTGGCTATTTTTTGTTCCATAATCAGCTGGAGAACAAGTCGATGAAATTGATAGCGTGCTCACAGGTGGGGCCCCACATCAAGTACGGGGCCAATGAAAGTTATTGTCGTAGTGATTTTAAAAGAAATACCCTGAAACACTGCTTCGACCTGCTTCGCTTAAACTGGTTCGCTTCCACGTGTGAATTATCAGAAAGGGGAGATTAACATCGGAAGTGTTTTCTCACACATCACCCTCAAAAAGGGTGTCGGTGATTTTCCGGATGTGGTTTGGTTTTGGTTTCTACACCCTCCTAATGTTTTATGTTTTCAACGCAGACGTTTCCTTCTACTAAAGAGGCCATAACTTTGAAACGGAAAAGAAATTTAACAAGGCCCGACACAATTTTCGAAAGAGGTTTCCTGGAACATACCTGCCGATTTTCAGCCAGTTCCGTCGGAAGACGCGCGTAAACGAACTAAGAATGTTCATCAGTCCTTATATGCAGTTTTGTTTTATCGAGAAAAAGACGAAAAACCTTTTATGAGATTGGTATGACTAGGTGTTAAAAATCCCCTCCGCACTGACAGATGTCGGCATCGGTCAGTTTACCACAACAATGACTTATGACAAGTTGAAATAAACAGACGTCTTACAATTCTGGCGCGGAAACCCGTCGCAATGAAATCGTCCGAGAAGCGACAAACTATGAAAAGCTTTATACAGGTTTGTATTTAAACTGCCGTGATTTCTTTTACTTAGAAGATTTCTTCGGCGGCATCGGTATTGTATTGCTCAAGTTTAGGCTCCTTCGTTCTCCTGACATTTTTTGAAACCGTGCTTCGTGAATCTCGAGGTCTACATCTGCGCTTGACTCTCTCGTTGTGGAAATTTCGGAATCACGTCCGTTCTCCAGCATTTTCGTGGGACGATCTCTTGCTGTAGCCTGTCCTTCAGCTCCATTGGCGGGACTACTGTCCTCGAGTTCCTTCAACCATTCTTCTTGGTTACAGTGCGACCGTGGGTCGCTCAGAGCCAAAGATCTTGGTCGACGCTGAACCTGTGGGTTCCAAGAGATTTTCGCCTCTTCGACCTCTTCGAAGACGAAAATGGACAAGAAGGTTTCTTGTGTTTTCGTCCTAATGCTTGCGATGAAAGAACCAGATCGAGAACAGTTCGTTCGAAATATCACACCGCAACATGATTCGCTTTACATGTGACAACTGGCGGTGAATTTTATTTAGAGGTGTAAACGCGCCGTCAGAGGTTAATAAGATTCAAAATAGTTTTTCTCTTTATCTTAAAAAGCAAAAAAGCTTTTTTCCCCATTTTGCAAAATAATTATCTCAGTCTTAAAAGTGAATTAAAATCGGCCGGCACAAAGCAAAAACTCATAGATTTTTATTTTTTTTTTCAAGTCTCCTGAAATTGTATGAGGGATCCCCTGTAGTGTAGGCTTCGCCAACGGCCTACTCTTTTTATTATTTGTTTGATAGCTTTTTATTATAGGGATAAAAATTGATGCCAGCTGAAATTGTGAGGCGTCTTTCATTTATTTGTTTAACCGAGAATTGATGGTAACGCCCAACCAGGGCCGAAGCTAATAACAGGCAAACCGACGCACTTGCCTCCGTCATTTTTTTTCGTTTTTGTTCTTCATCGTCATCATGACCCACCTAAATACCTAGGAAGAGAATTTAAACATGAAAATTGCCTCGTTCATTCTTTTTTTGTTCATGGGTACTGCCTTAGTCATAATTTTTTCTGGATATGGGCCTGCCAAAAATTCTTTGGCGACTATTGATATTTAATAGATCCATAAGGAGACATTGAAGACAATGCTTTTTTTTTTCTAACCACTGGTTCAGGTGTATTTTGAATGTAGAAAGAGTGTAGACTCCCAAATATACCGGGATCGGAATCAAAATGAGAAAAAGGATATATATTCGACTTCCAAAAACGTTATGTTGCTAAATATCGCGAATCGGTACACAGTAGTTCATGTTTAGAGTAACTAACGATGTCCTTCGTCTAAGTTGCATTCGGTGAATGGGTTTATTGCTCGTTTCACCGACACATACCATCTGGACAGTGACTCATTATTATTCAAATGTCACCTGAACAACAGAGACTAGTCCAAATAACCTAAAAATTCAGATAATTGAAAATTTGGAAGGTCCGAGTCATCCAAAATTCTCAACAGGTAAAAGAGTGAATAATGGAGGACGTGATAACAGACAATTAACTGTAATCGAATCAACCCATTTTATTTTGTGGAGCCAAAGTTGGCGGGTGTCGAAGACAAATAAGTAAAGTCTAATATTTATTTGAGTCCATATGCCTTTAACATATTTTTGTCAAATTGATCAATTTGAAAGACTGTTTACTATTTTATAGCAAACCTAGGCATGTTGTAAATTCTTTTTAAAGCAAAAATGTGCAGGACGGAAATTTTGTAGGAGGTTTTGTTGAAAAGACTACCATAAACCTATGTAATTTGTGATACTAAAATAAAGACATAGTAATGTATGTGCATTTCTCTTAATTTTTTTTAAATTTTCTGAAATATCTGGAATGATTTTCCTCGTATGCGATGAAGTATAGTGGTATTTTCAAGAAATAACGAGGACTTTTGTCCCGTCAGGTTAAGGAGGCCTACAAGCAGGGTTTCTTAACCGCGGACGATGAAAAAAGTCGATTAATTTCTCGTTGTTTTTCATTTTCTGCCACCAAATAAACAACAAAAGACGATATAGCTGATGAACTAAATATCAAGGAATGCACAATGGCCAATGAAATTTTAACAGCATGATTCACTTCACATACCTTGAATCATAAGAAGAGACAGAGAACAAAGGAAGAAGCATTTTACCAAACGAAGCTTGGAGTTTTTCTCCAGGTGTAGATTCTTCATGGTCTCAATTCCAGCCGTGATCTGTGAATTCGTGGTCATCACTTAGCTCTGTCGAAATATCTTGCTGTTGCACTGGTGTTTTCTTGAACACGGTTACCCACGCGTATCTTTGATTGCTGGTCAATATGTGCCTACATGTTTAAATTTTGAGAGCAGAGTTCTTAATGGCTCTATCCGGGCGGGGAGAGGACCAAATGGTTATTACTTATGCAAAACAGGATATCACATGAATTATAAGGCGGAATTGGCACGACAATCAAACATGGAAATGGCCTAAACAAAAAAATGTCCGCCTATTTCGCCGGTAAAGATAATATTGACAGCCGCAAAATGCAGAAGACAACTGCCTAAAAGCTTTTGAAAATATGTTCCTTAAGCTGTCATGACGTTTGCTAACAATTAACATTTATCTTATTTAGCGAAAGAAATTTGAGTAAACCTGTCGAGATCTGATATAAACGAAGATTTATTAGAAGGTCTAAGAAAAATACAAAACTTTGGGTAAATATCGCGAGGTTGTCGTGGTTTCGAAAAAAATTCTACAAAATCGTCTTTCAAAATTTTCGACCGAACGATTCAATTCGTATATTTTTGATTCCTATATATTAGTATATTTTCCTAGCATTTTCTGTACCATTTGCTCTCGTTTTGAAAGTCCCGTAATTTTTGGCTGGATTGAAAGTGTCGCCCTGATACGGCCGAAGTTACGGCCAGATTTGGGAACCTTAAATAAGTAATCGTACTTGAGCAGGAGAAGGTTACATCTAATACAGTTAACACCCGCACACTTCATTCTCACTAAATTTCGCGATTTTCGCTACTTTCGAAAAATCGCGAAATTTAATACTCGCGAAATACAGGACACGCGAAGATTAAAAATTGCGAAATTTAATACCTATATAATATCAATTAATAATGAAATTCTAGCTGTTTTTTTATTATTGTTATTCCAACATGTCTCAGCTTCATGTTTAGGAGTTTTTCGTCTGATTTTGTCCATCAGTTATATTCCACTGCATCACTCTCGCTGTCAGAACTGTCCTCTGCCGCTAGGTTCTTCAAAATCTCGTTTGTGCAGTCGTCAAACTTTCCATCTGTTGGGTCTTTGTAATTGTTTCTGAGATGTGTCTGGTGTCTTGCAAATATCTCACGTCCCCTTGTGCTGTGCTACATTTCAGTGATTACTTTCACCCGAATTTCAAGCCCTCCTTGTACCAAAGGGGATCTTCTGTGCTTAGAGTTAATTACGTCCACTTTTACAATACCACCATTCAGGATTAAAAACAACGTGACACGTAAAATCTCCCTTGGAAGATGTCCAACTACAGCGCTGTCTAAGCGACATATTAAAGAAGAGAGAAAAATCGCGAAATTTAATACACTCCAATTCTAATTTCCTCTCAAAATCGCAAAATTTAAAACTCGCGATATATGGCGCTTGACTTTTCGCGAAATTGAACACTCGTGAAATCTAGTGAGAATAAAGTATAAGAACACATGATTTCGGGTTCAGGCTGATCTGGTTCTTATTTGTCGGGTGCTTAGTGAGAAATCAGCCTGAAGATGTTCTTAATAAATTATGTTCTTAAACTTTGTTTCAGAAATACTACACATAACATGTTATTAGAGGTTTAGTTAGCATATTTTATTATAAATAAATAAGTAAGTAAACAATTGCAAATCAGTGAATCAATGAATAAAATAACAATCTCAGGTAGTAAAATAGTTAACACTAACAAGTAGAAATGTAACATTAGTTTCAACATTTTTTAAATATTACTTACAGTCATACTAACTCAACCGGGCCACCATTGTCTGGCAGCAGCCATAGTTACATTGCTTTCTTATTCCGACACCCTTTCCGTTATTATATAAGGACATGTTCTATTTATCAGGTTAAACTGGTTCTTATATTTATGGTACTTTATGGGCCGCATTTCAGCCTGATGTTCTTATTCCATTTGTTTTTATATGCGGGTGTTCACTGTAGTTTCGATCGTACCATTTTAGTCTGCTTCGACGGCTAACAGGGCTCGTTCGGTCTCGCCGTGAGTATTTTGGCACTCCAGCGCACCAAGTAACCGACGTTTCATTGACTACGGTTTATGAAAAACAGCTCTCATCTTTCAAAATATGTTTAAAGCTAGAGGTAAGAGGCTTTTCATGGACTTATGAGTATTCTAACTCCAGTTTTTATAGTTTTACGTTTTACACTTTTAGTATTACTTAGATATCACATGCACTTCTAACCAATTCGGTGAACTGTTTTTATTTGGGATCCTGGACTCATTTACAGATTATCCCTTGGCTTTTTTTTTAATTATGAATTTATTATTCTGTATTTACAAGTAATTCTTTTAGCGCCATGAATTGTAATAAAACTATAAAACTAAAATCCTTCTCTTTAATCATAGTTCTCGTCATATGTATGTGAGCCGTCCAGAGGACCACCATGCAACGTAGCGCAAAGTTTTTCTTTCATGGCAGATTGCCGCAAAACGAATAAATTTTATTGGTCTTTATCCTACCGCAATATCAATGCACTGAGCTTATGTCCTGTGATGTCATCTACAGGTTAGATTCTGCGCATAACAGTTGAAATTTTCGTAAGTAAGATGACACATAATTGCAGCTAACGTAAGACATAAGATTGGATCAGTTAGTAATTTGTCTGACGTCACCAAACAAAAGCTGAGCAAGCCAATTTTCGCGCCGAAATCACAGCCGTTGAAAAGAGCACTTCACACATTGTACCAGCGATTTTATCAACAAATTTCCCTCAAAACCCATAAAATTCGATGTTTTTTCTCGCCAAATTCATAGGAAGCGAAAACGTATATGTGACAGCAAGCCTATTTTTTTTTCTGAAACTATTTTCAATCAAGATAATTCGAACTCACATACTTCGATGGCTGTTACATTTTAACTGGGGAAAAATCTTGTTCGCGAAGAAATAAACCTGAAGTTTGTCACCGAAAGTACCTTCTAATGAAATTTTGCTAAACTTAGTGGGCATCAGTCTTCTTTGATCTGCTTAAATGTGCCCGGACAAACACCAAACATAGCTTGACCAGACTCGCCTGAGATGTTACCAAGGCTTACAGACAAAAACACAATTTGGTATGCTGCTCCGCTTCCATTTAAACAGGAAGTCGACAAGAAACAAGGAATTGAGATCGTCAACTAAGGGATAAAATTGATCTGCCACCAACTCCTCACAAGTAATATTAAAAGACATGTACTCGATTGAGTTAGGGGAACTTAGTTATCGAAATATACTGAAAACAAAGTTATACTGAACATACCATTCAGTTATGGGACATTACTGGGTTCAAAATTAATGTTATGTGATCAAAATCTCACCGTCATCTCGGAATAAATCATGCTTGCTCCAGTTGGAGTCGGGACCCGAAATTTTGAGCCTTTGCTGATTACCCGTTTTTTTTTCTTTTGGCTTTTCTGTATTTTCTGCCAATGACGTTTGAAGAAAAATCACTGGTCACAATGACATGTGCTGACGGAAAAGATTGCGTGACACTAGTTTAAGTGATCAGCTTATACAACTGGACTCCACAACACAAGTTCTGGTTTGTTAAACCGTATTGTTTGTGGTTTGTAAAACCCTATTGCTGTGATTTATACCCATTCTACACCACAATCGCAACTACATGTACTGGAAACGGGAGCGCATGTTTTAGGAAGACAAAACGTTTTCGCGTTGTTAACCTGTAGGCAAACGTGACTACCTGGGAATCTAGTGTTAAATCAAAATATTGACATAGAAGAAAAAGATGGATCTCCTGCATCCTTGGCATAGATTTTGTAGCGAAAAATTAATCTTAAATTTTCATACCTTAATTTATCTAAGCTAGCTTGAAAGTAATCAACCTCGCTCTGAAAATTTGAAAACGGCGTCGGTGAATTTGGAATAATCGCAGGGAGATTTTCGCGGGCGGAATATCGGATGAAATAACATGACAGTCGAGACGTGCACGGAACAATAAACAATCCGTTATTTAATTTAAACTCCCAACTCTCTTGGTGTGGGAGCACAGAATTAGTTTATTTAGCCTCCTGTGATTAAAGAGCGGCTAGTCAGTCAGTCAGTCTACTCAGTTCATCATGATTTCTAATTGACAGGACAAATGTAAAGATAATTGTCGCACCAGCAGAATGAACACTATATCAGCTTATTTAACTGCATACTTAAACAAACGTTTGAGTGTGAAATAATTTCAACAGTCTACTAAAATGAATATCCGACTCCAAATTTCTTTTATCATTTTGCTTACTCATGTGAAGTCTTAAAAGATTTTGAAATCCAAAGTATGTCCCAGAAGCTGCCCACTGATTCGTCCATCAAAGTCGACCAGTCATGTTAAAAGAATGTAGAGAACTTACCAAGAGAACTTGGCAAGAAGACAACAGTTTACAAACTGAGATAGTGAAAAGTTGCGTCGACCACTACTTTCATGTTTCACAACGTCAAAATTCAAGCAGGACCGCTGCGTTTGGCTATATTTTTCTGTCCCCCAGAAGCTTGTCCAGATCCAGTGATTAATAGATGCTATTTATTATTCATTTTGGAAAGTTTACTTTCTCGATATCTTCTTTCAGTGCCGTGCGTTTGCTGGGGTAGTGGAGTGTAATTTGTGTGGGTTGCATTGAACTTCTTTATTTAAATACTCGCAAAGTACAAAAAGGTTTATGCCATCAGCTTCCGACAGTCTTATTGATCCCAAACTGGTGTTGCCAAAAATAACCCGTCATCATCATTAGAACAACAATTGTTAGAAAGCAATACTCGGCTTCACACTAGAGCTTGTAAGTACAATCTAAGTGTACATGGAACCTACTTTGAGTCTGAAGGGGTAAATGTTTTTACTTGAGCTTTATTTAGTAACCAAGGAAACGTTCATAGTATGGTCTACACCACACTTGAAAACGCACTTGACCAATAGGAAATGGAAGCCAACTGAAAGCGGCGTGCAGCGGTGCTACAATTCCGATGAACAGACAGACAAACTTGCCAGCTGAGATCGATGGAAACATTCAGAATGGATGACTGGAGTTTAGAAGACTCTATGGAGCATTCTTTTTTGTAAAAAAATAGAAAGGAAAGAAAAGTCGATACAAGTGGTAAACTAATAACCTTAATTTGGATTTCATTTTCAGAGAGAGCCTAAATCATCGGTTTTCGTTTCATCCCACACAAAGTGCGGTTCTGCCAAATGAAAGATTTGACACTAATCGGATACCCATGTTATGCGCAAAGAGCTCTGGGAGCGCCAGGGGGCAAACATTGCAAGTCGCAAGAAGGAAATGTATAGCAAAAAGTTGTTCCCACGTCCAAAAAAAAAAAAAAAAA